ACGCTCCACAGCATCAGCAGAGACACAGAGAACATTCAAGGTACAGTTTGGGGTCAGTAAGATTTTTTTGTTGTTGTTGTTGTAAGAAATCAATACTTTCAGCACGGATGCATTATGTTGATCAAAAGTGACATTTATAATGTTAAAGATTTACATTTTTAAAAATGTGGTTCCTTTCTATTCATCAAAGAATCCTAAAAAAAAATCAGCACAATTGTTTTCAACATTATTAGCAGCAAATCAGCAGATCAGAATGATTTCTGAAGGATCACGTGACACTGAAGACTGGATGAATGATACTGGAAATTCAGCTTTGCAGAGTAGGATTAAATTACATTTTAAAATGGATTGAAATAGAAAACAGTTATTTTAAATTGTAATAATATTTCCAAAAATGTAACTTAAAAAATTTTTTTTATTAAAAACTGCAGCCTTGGTGAACATAAGATACTTCTTTAAAAATTTTTTTTTTTTTTTTAAATCTTATGATCCCAAACATTTGAATGGTTTCAGAAACTTAAATTATAGCATATACTATAATTAAATTATACTATAGTGAAGTTGCAAGTATGTTTAAACTGTTGTGGTTTCTGTGTTCAAATAAGGATCCTACTCCAAACATGAGTTCCAAGCAGAGACGAAGAAACTGCTGGATATTGTGGCCAGATCACTGTATTCTGAGAAAGAGGTGATAAATGAACATAAACAGATGTAATGCTGTCATGTTTGATCAGTTCTCTTGATGCATTCAAGATTGTATGAACCTACAGGACTCAGTTGAGTGATTGTATGCATTTTTCAGGCTGATTATTTGATTTCATCCAAGTTGTCATCATTAATGTTGTATTATGTATCACCCTGTAGATTTATTTGAACAAAAACTAATCAAATAAGTACATATTTAATCAGCTTGATATGGCTAAATATTGTCAATTGTCTTATTGGAGAAGTTTTACACTAATAAATATGGCATTTTAAGGATTGGATCCGGATTTATAACTAGAAAACCACCCCAAAAATATCTACATAAATTATAATAATAGAACAATGCATGAATGGAAGAAAAATCATATAAATATTGATCAGTCTGTAATTCAGTCAGTGGTTTTCTGGCACACACCTGCTCTGTTAGGTGTTCATCCGAGAGCTCATCTCAAACAGCAGCGATGCGCTGGAGAAACTGCGGCACAAGATGATCACAGCAGGAGGAGATACAGCACCAATGGAGATCCACCTGCAGACAGATGCTGCCAAAGGCACCTTCACCATCCAGGTAACTTCAACCCATACAGCTCCTCAATCACGGCTCTGTGAGGGGCTCAAGAACAGAATCATGCATTAGAATCAGATTAAATAGCTGTTAATGCTACTCCCGTTCCATTACCCATCACTTTATTTAAATTCTCAAGACCAATAGTGTTGTAAGGGAAAAAGATGAAGAATAGCATTTCTATCGCCAATTTGTGTAATTCTAAAGCTGTTTTCAGCCATTTTAGTCATACAAACAATCAACTATCTACATAACTTTGCCAAAAGTTTTGGCAGTGACATAAAATTTGTGTTTTGCAAAGTTTGCTGCTTCAGTGTTTGTAGATTATTTTTCCACATGTTTCTATGGTATACTGAAAAACAATGATAAGCATATCATAAGTTTTAAAGGCTTTTATTGGCAAAAAAATATAATGAGTCAATATTGACAGTGTTGATCCTTGTTCTTCATAACCTCTGCAATTCGCTCTGCCATGCTGGATATTAGCTTCTGGGCCAAATCCTGACTGATGGGGATCCATTCTTGCCTTATTAGTTCTCAGAGTTGATCACAATTTGTGGGCTTCTGCTTGTCCACTCACCTTTTTGAGGACTGACCACAGGTTCTCTATAGGATTGAGATCCGGGGAGTTGCCTGGCCACGGATACAAAATTTCAATGTAATGATCTTTGAGCCACTTCTTTATCACTCTTGCTTTGTGACATGGTGCTCCATCATGCTGGAAAAAGCACGGATCATCCCCAAATTGCTCATGTGATCGTTGGAAGAAGTCGCTCTTGCAGGACGTTTTGATACCATTCTTTATTCATGGCAGTGTTTTTGGGCAGAATTATGAGAGAGCCCACACCCTTGGTTGAAAAGCAACCCCACACATGGATGGATGCTTCACTGTTGGCACAACACAGGACTCATGGTAGCATTCACCTTTTCTTCTCCGAACAATCGATTTTCCAGATGTCCCAAACAGTCGGAAGAGAGCTTCACCAGAGAAAATAACTTTGCACCAGTCTTCTGCTGTCCAATCCTTGTACTTCCTGCAGAATTTCAGTCGGTCCTTGATGTTTTTCTTGGAGAGAAGTGGCTTCTTTGCTGCCCTTCTTGACACCAGGCCGTTGTCCAAAAGTCTTGACCTCACTGTGCGTGCAGATGCCCTCACACCAACCTGCTGCCATTCCTGAGCAAGCCCTGCACTGGTGGTGACACAATTCTGTAGCGGACTCCTCAGGAGGAGATGGTCCTGACGCTTGCTGGACACTCTGGGACGTCCTGAAGACATCTTCACTGCAGTCGAACCTCTTTCCTTGAAGTTCTTGATGATCCGGTAAATGGTTCTTTCAGGTGCAATATTTCCTTGCATGTGAGGCCATTTTGATGCAAAGCGATGATGAGCGGTTTCTTTGGAGGTAACCATTGCTAACAAGGACACAATGATTGGAAGCACATCTTCCCTCCTTTTATAGCAATCAGTCTGCTCTTACAATCTAATTAGTATGATAGTGATTTTACCTGACTAGTACTCACACTTTCACATGTGCTGCTATGATTAATCAATTAATGTTAGCTGGTCATTTTGTGTCACGATCAAAAAATTTGAAAAAAAAAAAACAGTGAAATTTGTTTTATTGTGAAAATTTTATTTTTTGGCCAATGAAGCTTTTAGCAATTATTTAAAATGCATCGGATCACTCTACACAATCTTCACACAAAAATAAATAAATGGACTGTTTTTTGATCCTGACACAAAATGACCAGCTAACATTAACTGACTAGTCATATCAGCAGCACATGTAAAAGTGTCTGAGTACCAATCAAGTGAAAATTATTATTAGCAATTATTTAAAATGCATCTGATACACTCTACACACAATAATCTAGAAACAATGTGAATGAACACCACAAGAGCTTAAGCAGCAAACTTTGCAAAACACAAAATGTATGTCACTGCCAAAACTTTTGGCCATGACTGTAAATATAATGCTGCAATTGACACTTCATCCATTTTCACATCTCACTTTAATCATGTCATTGCATTTAGTTTAATTGTGAGGGGCCTTTTTTTTGCCCTCGTATCTTGAACTTAGTCTTATTAAAGCAGCTGAACCACTGTGACTTACATTATTTACCTTTTCAATAAATATAATGTTCACTTGATAAATATGTCTTATAAAATATTATCTATTAAACAATGTAACTACAAAATGACAACTGAAATATGCATTTAAAGCACTAATTTGTACATATTTGAATTAATAGACAGTTATATGCATGTGTAATTTTGCATACCTTCAATTGAAATCATTATAATTATATAAAATATTAAGTATTTACATATTTTAAAATTACATTATATATAAAAATTATTTAATGTTGTTTTAAATTCATTCGCCTGTTATATCATTTTACAACTGAAATATACATTTAAAGCACTAATTCATACACAATTTATATGCAATTCTACGCATCTGAATTCAACAGTATGAACTTAATTTTAAAAAATGCAAGTAATTTAAAAAATCTAATATTTACATATTTTAAAATGACATTATACATGTAAAAATTATTTAAAAAAATAATGTTATTGATTTTAGTTTTCCGACCCTAATCTGCACTGATCTTATACTTGGCCTCTCTGCAGTCCACCTGAAGAAAATCCATTGTAGCGACAGAGCAGTTTAATGCCTGTGTAGAATGTATTGATCAACAGTTTTCTGCTCTGATTTGTAGGACACGGGTGTTGGGATGAACAATGAGGAGCTGGTGGCTAATCTGGGCACTATTGCTCGATCGGGATCAAAGGTGCGTCTCACTGAACTCTGCTGTTCCTCATTCTGACAGTAGGTTTTATTTCATGGTCCTCTTGCTCTTCCTCCATCAGGCTTTTCTGGATGCTCTTCAGAATCAAGCGGAGGCCAGCAGCTCCATCATCGGTCAGTTCGGTGTGGGCTTTTACTCCGCCTTCATGGTGGCTGATAAAGTGGACGTTTATTCTCAGTCAGCAGAACCAGGCTCTCCTGGATACAAGTGGTCCTCAGATGGGTGAGAAAAATCAGAAGACAGATGAATTTAATAACAGTTTTAGGAATGTGCTTTTTGTATTCATGCTCATTGAAAAATCATAATCATGATTATTTCGGTCAATATTGTAATCATGATTATGTTAATAATCGTTGGAAGCCAAAATCGAAATCAAAATTAAACTTTTGATGAATCGCACAACCCTACTTTTTATTAAAGGGGTCATATGATGCGATTTCAAGTTTTCCTTTCTCTTTGGAGTGTTACAAGCTCTTGGTGCATAAAGAAGATCTGTAAAGTTGCAAAGACTAAAGTCTCAAATCCAAAGAGATATTCTTTATAAAAGTTAAGAGTTAACCACGCCTACCTAAAACGGCTCGTTCTAACACGCCCCCACATATCTACGTCAATATGTGGAAATATTTGCATAATGCGCCCCAACTGTAAGCATGTTGTTATTAGTTTAAGTATTTGCTATTGACTGTTCAAATGCGGAGTTTTGCGCAGCGCAGAGTAACGTGTCGTGTGTGTGTGAGTGAGGGGAACAGGGTCACATCACAGGAGAGTGAACTGCCTGTCAGAAATCATAGCATGTCAGCTGTCTTAACCGCGGCTTGTGTACTGCATCATCACTGTGTCTGTCACGCGACTCTGTTGCCCTTTC